AATTATTAGTTTTCAGAGAGTCACCAGTGGGGTTGACTATCTGAGTTCAGGTTTGACTCTTCTCTTAAAAATTAATACAAATTAAATACAGAATAATGTGCCATCATGACACAGTAGAAAGAACGCAGGTTTTGGCATTGCATAGATGTGGGTTCAAATCCTGGCCTCACCCCTTCCTAGCTTCATTACATTAGATGATTTGCTTGACTTCTTCATGCTGGGTCTCTTCCCTGAGCAGATTGGGTAACTGAGGCAGAGGTGGGTGGCCAGGAGAGAAAGGGGCTGGAGGTGGTCTGAGAGTGGAGTCAGGCCCACCAGTATGTCTTGTTGAAGAAGTAGTTGGTGAGATTTTTGCTTTCATTACACACCCTTAAGAAGTAGAACCTGGGATGCTGTTTTGTAACAGAGTGTCTTCCTCCCGCAAGATCTGGAGCAATGTGGAGAGTACTTTTCAGAGTCAGTGTGGAATTTACCATCTCTTTACAATTGTCGACCTACCAGTTACCAGGGCATAGACAATTTTTACATCAAGCCAGTTAGATGGCATATGCATGTGTGTACACATGGCATTAAGTTTGATTATTTTTGACAAATAGCTTATTTGCTTTATTACTTATTTCCCATAGTGACTAATGCAGATTTGCAGGGACGTCTGCAAAGCCCAAGACTCCCTCACCCCCTCCTCTTCTTACCTTTGCTCATTATTCTTATGTTCCTGGCGCATTAGGGACACTATCAACTAAATGAAACAGATGCATTTCTAGAATTAACCCCAGAGACTCACGGCCACCACTGAAGTAGAAGACGGGAAATGTGGGCACAGGCACGAGCATGCTGAGGACAGGAGGAAAGGTCAAGGCCCAGGAGAGCCCCTCTCGGACTGTGAACCGCACTGAGTCGTGCTTTAGTTACTCTGGGTTTCGAGATTGCCTCTTTTTAGAGTGTTGACAAGGAAAATAAACACCATACTTAGGTAAGAGGAACAAACACATGCGCTTAAAACAAACTAGAGGCAGAGACATGTTTCATATGAAAGACGAGGCACGTGGCACGTGGTTTAGCCTCTGATGCTTCTGAACCCAAGAAAACCAGATTTGATAAAAGTGCATAAACCTAAGGCAAAAAAAACATCAGAGGTGACAACAGATAAGAGAGTGTTAACAAAAGTTTCAGTTTGTGGGGACCGTGGTATCTGAGGAGGTTTAGAGACAAGTGACCACAGACTGGGAAGAGAAGAAGCAGTTAGGGCACCAGGGTCTCAGAGGGCTCAGACTTGCTGAGTGTTTGTGTCATTGGCAGATAATCGTCAGAGCCCCGCAGGGCCCCAACCCCACAGGGCTAGGGTGGAAACAACCTTCTGCCCTCCTCACAGGAGCCCAAGGCCACTCTCTGGGGAAGCTAAACAGCTTCTGGGCTTGGAGCCCCCAGGACACACAAGGGCAGGGATGCCGTGGAGGAAACAGGGACCTCTCCTCATTTCCTCCCAAGGATGCTTGTTGTCAGGCTTTTAACATCTGAGCAGGAAGTTCGAGGATCACTCTTCAAACAAGGAAAAACCTTGAGACATTTGGTGTAGTTTACCTAATGATCTGGCTCCTTGTCACTCTCCATTTTACACCATCATTTTACAAGCTACACATATAGTTTTCAAACAACTTTATTTCTATTTTTTTAAGATTTTATGTATTTATTTGAGAGAGAGAATGAGATGGAGAGAGCATGAGAGGGGGGAGGGTCAGAGGGAGAAGCAGACTTCCTGCCGAGCAGGGAGCCCGATGCGGGACTCGATTCCAGGATGCCAGGACCATGACCTGAGACGAAGGCGGTCGCTTAACCAACTGAGCCACCCAGGCGCCCAGAGCTTTATTTCTAAATAACAGCAGTTTCCCAAAGGAAATGGACACCCAAAAGAAAAAGATGAGATGAAAGATTGAGAAAAATACACACAGAGAAAGAAAGATAATAAACGTGGAGAAGACAGAGCCGTGAAAGGCAGAAGGAAAGCTATGCTCACCAGACGCGGGGCGCTCGGTCTCTGGCTGCTGGCAGCTCTGACCCCTGCTTGTCTTTGAGGCTTTCACGACAACTCCTTGCTTGCTTTTGTTGGAAATACTGTCTGAAGATCTCAGTGTTGCTGTCAGGTCAGCTGTCTGCTCTTATGTTGGATTTGGAGAGACTCAAAGACTCTGCCAATGTTGCTGGCATTTTTCCAGAACCCTCAGGTCAGAAGAAACTTCAAAACAAACAAAATAAAACTATAATTATTATCCTCAGAGAGATAAGAGAATTCATTGTATTCAAAAGGGAGTTACTCAGAGAAGACCTCTGAAACATGAAACAAGATAGCAGAAATGAGTAATATAGAAGCATTGCAGTGAAAATTGAAGAAATTTTCCAGAAAGTAGAGAAAAGAACAGGGACTTAGAAAATTAGTAAAAACAAGCATGACGTTGAGATTCTTGCATTGACTAAATGTTTGTGTACCTTCAAAATTCACATTGGAATCCTAATGCCAGCACGTTGGTGTTTGGAGGTGTAGCCTTTGGGCCGCCACGGCGTGGTGGTCCTCGCGATGCATCAGTGTCGGGATATTTAATAGGGTGGGTGTGGGCACTCCCTCTGGCTCTCCGCTGCACGGAGACGCAGAGAAAAGACATCTGTCTGCAAACCAGACAGCACAAGGGACCTGTCAGCACCCTGGGCTCAGACTTGGAGCCTCTGGAACTGTAGGAGTTGAATTTCAGAAGCTGCAACATTCGACTAATAGAAGTTCAAAAATAGCAAACAGAAATTATGCATGAAAGGACTATTATAAGACAAGTTGAAGGACAGGAATTCCCAGTGAGCATCCACTGGGTTTTCAGGTAAAGAATGGAACGGAACGCATCACCACACCAGGACTCATAAAAATACTGCAAGAAACATTAAAATATCTTACTTAAAAATATCGAGATAAATATTACAAGAAAGAGCTAAAATGTTGAAAGTGGTTACTTCTGAAAAGTGGTTCACTAGGACGGGCAGCCAGGGTTCAGAGGAGTGCTGTTTTTCTGTAGGAGCCCGACATTTGACTTTTTCTGTTGGCCATGCTTATATGTTAACATAAAAATAAACATTATTAAAAACGTATTTGAGATTTTCCCCAAATAAAGCACATTTATGTGCTGACATAGTTGTTTTTTATTGCTTTCCGCACGCACACTTGTACTTACGATGTCAACGTTGGACTCGGTGGTTGATAAAGATGAGTCAGTGCTGTTCTGTCATCTACAAGTGCAAAGAGCTAACCACAGACAGAGGCAGACAGGTGTGCCAGATTGTCACCCCAACCCTGCAGGGAACTGTCTGGTAGCTTCAACATGTTCTGGGTACTTTCTGCTGTCACCCTTGGGGTTTCTATCTTCATACAGACCATGACCAGGTGCTGGGGTGTAATTGTAGCCTAAGGCTCTTGACCCAGAAACTGGGCAGGAAGTGCATGGTAGTGCACACCATGGGTCCCCATTTCATTGTCAAGCAAAGACTGCCCTGCTAAGAATCAGTCTGGATTTCAAACAGTTATTTCATGCATTGAGCCTTCATCTCTGCTTTTGATTGAAGCAGCTTGGTTGGAAGATACAGTCTTTAGAAAACTGTGGTAGATTGTATCATCATGCCACCAAATCGTCCACCCCCTCTCTGTGCCTTTTCCTGCGGGAAGTTATATTTCCTGCTCTGTGGGTGTCAGACTTGGCCTGTATCACTTCTGAGCAGAATCGTCAAGAGTCAGCTCGTGGTCCACCACCTTCCCTGTTCTCATCCCATCAATGTGGCAACACCCCATGTGCATCAGAGCAAAGACAGCATGGAGTGGAGCTTTAGCCGGCCCATGATAGGCAAGTGGCACCAAGTAGAAATGCCTCTTTGTCACTGATGCTCTTGCCACAGGCTAACAGGAACGAAGCCGGCTGATGCTGCATCAGATGAGTGCCACCATGCCTGATTCCCCAGTGAATCAAAGGAATCCACACTTAGGATGTTGGCCTTCATTAAAAAAATGAGGAAGCCCCTAATGGAGGTTAAGCTGTGGTATAACACATTCATGTTTATGTTTGAAAAGTCATTCTGGCTGAAGCATGGAGATAGGGTTGGGATAGAGGACAAAATGGATGTGGGGATCTATTTTTGGAGGCTACTGAGGAAATACGGGCATGAGATGATGGCATGGAGGAGCAGGAGCAGAAAAGGGAATGATGTCAAGAGATATTTAGGTAGAAAACCGGTTGGTCGTTGATGGGATTAAGGCAGAGGGAGGTGGCACCCTTCTGGAGAGCGGGCAGTCCCTCACAGTAGGGAAATCTGTAGAAAGGGAAGTTGGGGATCACTGAGACAAGGTAAAGGTCATGAGCCCTGGCGTAAATCGTCTGAGTCAAGGGGGACATGAGACATCCAAGCTGGTGTTTTGGGAGTCTTGCTCTACCTCCTTTGAAAAATCTCTGTGCAAGACAGGAAATGCTGTCTGCAAAGTTACTCAATGTTTCCTGAAATTCTGGGGAAGTCTGTGCTCAGGTAAGTATCCTGGGAACACTTACTTAGTGTTTTTTTTATTCCTATATTGAATAACAGCCACGAGTAAGTCTACTATTTTTTTAAGCTAGACAATAAGTGTGTGGCTCAACTGATGTTCATATTTGCATTTCTGACAAACAAGTGAGAAATATTCCCCTTTTTTCACAACTACATAGTAGACCAGGAATTTAAATGACTGCCCCAAATTGTAAATGAACTCTACGGCAGTGTTACGATTGACGTTTCTGCCATCCACGCTGCGCAGAGCTATTAGACGGCAGTGCCCCCATGCATCAGGTTGCAACACATCCAGTATGGTGGAGGGTGGCCGCAGTACAGATGTTCTGTGAGGGAACTGCCTCACCTGTGCCCAGAGCGGCAGCAGTTAGATCTAGTAAACGAAGCATAGATAATGATCCAGATACAGGCCAGTCCAAAATTATTAAACAAGTTCTTGCTTCGACAACATACTGACTAAAATTGGAACGATATAGAGAAGATTTGCATGGCCCCTGAGCGAGGATGACGGGCAAAATTATTAAACAAAACAAGATACGTCATTTAAAACTTCTGGCCTGTCACTTTTCCATAATCTCTGGAATGGTGACAGGAGGGTGTGAGGTTTGAAATCCCCCATTGGCTGGAAGACATGCCTGAGGGCCTCAACAAGTAAAAAGCAGGACACAGACAAATCACCTTCAAGGAATGTAAAGAAATATGTGAATTGAAAACGTTTAGCCCATGAAAACTAATGAGGTGAAACCCTGATCCCATTATAACCTGTTTATGTCCATGTCTAATATCACTTACATGGTGTACAAGCCCCCTCCTGTCCGTCCACACACACCCTCCAAGTGGCCAGTCTTTCCCTGAACCACATGCCTGAGCAGCCCATGATTCTGAGTTCCTTGGAATATCCCTTTCTCTCAGGTGTTGCTGCAGACAAATCACTCCCTGGAAATCACTCCCTCCTGTAGCATAGCTGCCTTTGAGAAGGAGAATTTTCTCCTCAGGAATATGGGCTCTGATGGAGCTGCACGCTCCAATTATAAGCTTCGGAGCAAAGAGAACAGAAATGTTTTTCTTCTAAAATGTTGCTATTCTTGCCTTAGGTAGTCAACAATACCCAGCCTCAGCTGGTTCCCTTCATGCTGGCTCCCTCTGTGCACTCCGCATGCGCGGGCATCCCAAGGCAGCTTACAAGAGCAGTCACTCTGGAAAACAAAGAGTTGCTGCAGAAAGATGGAAGTCACCATGTTTATGCTAGACTCCTTGATACAAGCCAATTCCAAGATCTTTGAGGATAACAGCCTACCAGACATTTATGCTCACTGAGCATTAATTAATGTTTTTTTGCATGGATATCTATTCTGCTCAATATGCTTAGAGACTTGATTTAATTATAAAACCCTAACAAACCAAACTGTGTGTTTTCCACATGGTGAAGGACCACACACTCACTAAAGCTTTAAGCAGAATCAGTTTACTGTGGATTCTATCCAATATTATGATGTTCTGTTGTCCAAAAATACAGTTTTGAAAGATGAGGTTAGATTTATTCGTGCTGTTTGGCTGAGATTTCATTAAGTGAGAAGGCTTTCACAGTCTTCTTAGACCAAGCAAATTTTATTAGGCCAAACTATATTTAGGTATATCTATGGAATCTCTCCAATTTATTCTATGTCCTAAAATCTTGGAGCTTTGAAATTTTGTTTTATTTTCCCTTTTTAAAATTCTCTCACCCCCTTTGATATTATTCAAAGTAAAACACATTTTTGTTTCATATGTGACTGAGGACAGTGGAAATTCAGGATGTGCTTGGAGTTTTAGTGCAGGCTACAGAAGAAAAGTCCTCCATGGCCCTTTTCCTATGCCAAACTGCCACAGGGGGCACCCGATGAGCCCCCTGGAGCTGTGGTGTCTGCAGCCAAGGGATCCCTTGTCTGGTACCCCAGTCTCTCACCTACACGCCGAACAGCTGGTAGACCTCTTCTTAGAGGACAAACGACATTCAGATTTCTGGCATTCGTGTATTCAGGGTTTCCTTCCTTCAGTATCTGAAAAACCTTAATTTAGGGCTGATTATTAACAGCCACAGAGCTGAGTGTCGCTGCTCAGACCACATGCAGCCAGCTCCTAGTGTTCGGTTCACCACACATTCCTCTTAAGTTCTAAACGATGGTATGTATGTTCAGGGCTCAGCACAGCACAGAAAATGTCTCCATCTCCTGTTACCGATCCCCTGAGCCATAAACTCCCCCCCCAAAAAAAATCTTTTTCTAAGGAGACTGGCTTCCTTTCAAGCTTATGAAAATCAGCCAGAGGGCTCAGGCTAACTTTAGACAACTAAAAATAAAGTGAAAACTTGGTTTTAAAAAATATTATTATTATTTTAAAAGCCGTTTTGAAATATACTTGTATAGTGGTATGGAATCAGATTTTAAAAATTTCATTGTCATCATGACAATAAGTCTGTTTTTGGCTCCGATCAAATGAAGAACTTGTGTAATGAATGCTCCTTTTTTTCCTCTCTTAAGAACTGATTATGTAAATACTGTCTGATTCCACTTACACGAGGCACAAAGAGCAGCAAAATCATGAAGACAGAAGGTGGGACGGAGGTGCCCGGACAGGGGAGGAGGTGAATGTTTCATGGGGACAGAGGTTTAGGTTCAGGCACTGAACAGCGTTATGGGGATAGACAGCTGCCCACATGGATTCAGCACCACTAGCCGCACACTCAGAAGTGGTTAACATGGTAAGATTTATGTTATGTGTATTTTACTACAATATAAAAAGAAGAAAAACCAAAACAAAACCCAATGTACACAACTCTGCTGGAGACATGGCGGTAATTGTGAACTTTACCCACCACACCACCCCTTGTCACTTAGTTCTTTAAAAATGATCTTTCCCCTCAAAACACTGGATACATTATCAGACGTAGGTACCTTATAAGTGGTGTTTTCCTGATGTATATATAGATTTACCTGTTGCTATTTGGCTTTCTTTTGAACGTCTGGGGACGGCAGATCCTTTGTCACTTTTCCTTCAGCAGACATGGGCACGAAGCTGGGTGAGTTAACCCAAAGTCAGCTGTGGACGCACGTCGGTCCCACAGCTATTTCTGTGCCACGTGGAGCGAGTGTGGCTGGGCAAAGCCCCCCTTCTCCAGACCACAGAAGCAACAGCCGATGCAGAGAGTTACAGAGATCTAAACACACATGATTAATAAAAAGCAAACAGCAAAATCTTGCCAAATAAGTGGAGAGCCTCTGGGGAAAACGTCCAGAATTCCACGAAGTGGGAAAACCAGCAGGACTGGGGCTGCCCTTTAGTATCATGATTGCATGGAGAGGCCATGCTTCTGGGGTTCTGAGGGAATGCTCCCCACGTGGACAGACACCCTCCAGGGGGACCCCAGTGACAGGCGCAGTTACACACGTGTGTATCTTAGTCATGAAGACTGCTTTGATATCAGTTTTGAACAGTTTTCTATAAGCAATAAAATGTAAATATGTAGTTTAAGACAAAATAATCTGAGATCATTAGTAAAATTTCGTGTCTCCAGTGTCTCCGTGGCCCTCAGCTCAGCCATAACCATGAGTAGAGTAACTCCAAGGACAGTTCTGTCACTGGAAGCTTCTAGAAGCAGCTCCGTCCTGGTGTTGGTAAGACATTACACCCATTTTAGCTATCCTGTGCCTTGGAGACTCTCAAAGCCAGGAGACTTTTCTGGAGCAGAAGGTAAGAGTGCAGGGATGGGAAGGAGACGCATCAGGCCCTACTGTACCCTCATGTTGCAGAGAAGAAAGCCAAACCTTGGGGAAACCATGTAAACTGACTGTGGCCCAGGGTTAGGAAGTGACGTTATCAGGGTCTGACCCAAATATCTGCTCAGCGCCAAACCCTGTGTGCTGCTCACACTGTGTCTCAGGGACTCGTGTTTCCAGGGGTGAGGATCTGGAACCATGGTGTGGCAGACAGACTCAGGGAGTACCCATCCATAGTGTACCGAGATGGAGGAGATTCCACCCCTTATCCTACAACAGAAAAACATGTCTGAGAAAACAGCTTAGAAAACCCGAAGTCAGATGTGCAACAAATGAAAGAGAAACTATCTATTAGTGTGGCAGTGAACATGGTCGGAAGATAGGACTGAACTGCGGACGTTTTGCTCTGTTAAGCCATGACGTGGGGAACGGACCCAGGTGCCCCGACCTGACAGGCTGACTCACCTCTCCAGGCCCTGAGGGGAGGCCCTCTGCCCCGCACATCCCCTGGCAGTCACCATGCACTGGACAATATCCCACAGTCCTGGAAATGTGCTGAGAGCTATTACCAATTATTAGCAGTATTTTCCTTGGTGTATTATTCTCTGTGAGAAGAAAGAGAACAGCTTTTATCCTGGCTTTGCTTTAGTACCCTTAGCTTGTTTTCCTTTCTCCCTGACGATGTCTTTCTGTGTAATTCAGTGTAGCTTAAGACACTCTTCAGCATTCGACAAATATTGATTGCAAGACTCCTATGTGGGACTGAATTGACAATACTCGAACGCACACACGCCCTCAATTCTTGCAAAAGCCTTTTAAGGACACTCTCTTACGGGTAAAAGTCACCGTGTTGGTGCCGTTATAACCACCTCTCCCACCAGCCTGAACTGAGAAGGAAAATCAGGAAATGAGTTTTTGTGCCACACCTAGTGAGGGGCCGTGTGCAAATTTCCACTTAATATGGAGTGTTTCTGTCCTTTAAAAAGTGAATAGAAAGGTATAAAATTATTAGAAGCAAGGTTTTCATGCTTTCTGCATAAACATCCAAAGAGGGCTTTCTCCAGACTTGGCCTGACAGGTACCTGGGCTGGCAGCCCCGTCCAGGAGGGCAGGGAGCCGAGACCCAAGGCCACCACAGAGTCTAGGCAGGCGGAAACAGACCCAGGATGGATTGCGGGACGAGGGCCGCGACGCAGAGGATCCCGGGGTCCCAGGAGGGAGAGGCTGGGACTGCACTTTCTCTGTGCAGACTTCTCAGGGAAATGGATGTGGGCCCAGAGTCACTGACTCCGCGTTGCTGACCTTGTCTTTCTTCTTAGTCTCCACTTCATGCGAGGAAATAGGAGGCTTCGGCGGTGCAGAATTTGGACAGAATTGTACTCACAGCAGATGATAATAGAGCATGATATTTGGATTTGTGATTTAAGTGGAAATAAGGACATAGAAGCCGTGACTGTGGATGTGCCTTTGGTTCAGGCTGTTTGAGGGGCTGGAGCAGCTGAAAGTGGGCTTTGAAAGAAGGAATCAGAATGTCACACAAAAGATCGTGGTAGTTAAATTTTAGGAGATTAATGAATTAATCTTAATAAGTTAATCAAATTAAGTGGTATAAGTATCAGGTAAAGCCAGAGAGAAATTCCCTGTTTGCCTTTGTTTTCCCTGAAATGTTGGATAGGTGTCACTCTAACTTAAAGGCTAGAAAACATAGGCTGAAAAATAATGAAGCATAATTACTGTAAGATACGTTGTTGGTGAAAGACGCGGTCCCCGTCAGGGTCTGAGAT